TGAGCCCAGGAGTTCGAGGTTGCTGTGAGCTAAGCTGATGTCATGGCACTCGCCTGCGTAACAGAGTGAGACTCTGGCTCAAAAAAAAAAAAAAAGAAAGAAAGAAAGAAAGAAAGAAACATTTAATGATTAAAAAAATGAAATAAAAAAATTGAAAAAAATTAAATGTATAGATTGTTAACAGAAGCTGATATTAACATTTTTAAAAGCTCATAATGAAGTATTTTCATTATAAAGATGACTGTTTTAAAGAGTCAGAAACCAGAAAAAGCATTTGAGGTCAAAAGTTTCAGTTGTAGAGACCTCTATGATTGATAAGATGTGATATCCTACCCTGGTACGTGGAAACAGATTCATTCTACAGGCATTTCTTGCAACGGTACAGTGGCTTTCAAATCTTTTCAATGTCATAAAGAACCCTTTTTCCTAATGAAATTTTATTCAGAGCCCCAGCTTATAAGTAAAATAAAGGAAACTACTGCTCAGATTGAATCCAAGGTAGGTACCCAGAAACATACCCTCTTACTTCTTCCTCTTCCTCTGCAACCCCCCAGGCAGCCCCAAGGTCCCCAGGTAGAAGAACCCTAGGATTCTGCAGAGCATGGTTTAAAAAACACTGCTACGCTTCCTCTTCTCTATTCCACCTATCCATGTCCTTCCTAGATGGCTCAGATGACAGTCCTGCCTACTCACATACAGCAGCATTGATCATCCTAACACTTGGGAAGCCCTCCCTTCTTTAAACTCCTGTGCTAGATAACTTAGCACTTCACTACATGCAATCACATCGTTCAGCAATTTTCAGGAGTTTACATTTTTGAGTGCTAACTATGTGCCAGGCCCTTCTTTACATGCATTATCTCATTTACTCCTCCAAATGAGCCCCATGACTAAGGGATTATTCGTAGGTTAAATTTACAGATGAAGAAACTGGTTGACAGTAAAGTAACCTTCCCTGAAGGTTTACTCGTAGACGTATCAGGGAGAATGGGGGACTAGACCTGGAACTCAGATCCCTATGACAACAAAGTGCAGGCTCTTCCACTGCTGTTTAACTTCATATTACATCTCCCCAAGGATATCACTGTCTCTTGGAAAACAGACATCGTGTTTTTTAATCCTCCATAGCACCAACACTCGTATTAGCATCATTTGGTAAATAATTGCTGATTTAATTATCTATTTTTTATGTGCTTTCTAAAATTTCACCTAGGCACTAAAAGTTTGACACAGTCTTCCAACTTATTTATCTTTCCCCCAAAGCGATACTACTCTACACAATGGTGGCTGCATAGGATTGGGACCAAAATTCTCTAAAGGCTTCTTAATGATCTATGAACAATTTTGGATTGGAGCTTTAGTCATTTAAATCCGATGACACAGTAATGGATTGTTTGACTGCTCTTTTATAAAACCAGCCTAAATTTCAAACACCTCCTTGAAACCCACAGAAACAAAAAATAAATAAAAGAGCTATACCTCAGCACTCCAAGAACCTGTTTCTGTCTGGGACACTCGGTATGTATAAATGTAACCTTGATACCTGTGAAAGAATAAACTTCCATTACTGAAAGATTCCAAAAGAATAATGAATGCTCTAAATTTGAGTTTACTACCACATATAACTGTTACATATACTGGAACACATATATATGCTGCCGTTGCATTCATAGGAAGCAAAGCCCAGCAAAATCTAACTTGCTTTATTATATTTGCCCAATCACAGTTTCCAGTGAGACTTCATCTTTTCATGTTTTTAAATATGGGAGCTCACTCTCCTAAGAATTTGTGTAGTTTAGAGACTGCTTGGATCATAAACTAGGGATCTGCTGTAGTTAGTAAAAACCATGAATTATTAGTTTGAACAAACCATAGACTTACTATTTTTAAGTACATATAGAGCCTTAAGGTGAAAATACTTCACTGGGTCAAGACACTATCAGGCACACTTAAATAATTAATAACATAATATTAATTATGAAATCAATATAATAGTAATACTAAAAGGACATAATACAATAAGAATATAATAATTATATTCTTATATTACTATTATAACATATAGTAATATAATATTACTACAGTTATGTGTGACTTAATGACAGGGATAGGGTCTGAGAAATGTGTCATTAGGTGATTTCATCATAGGAACATCATACAGTGTACTTACACAAACCTAGATGCTATAGCCTACCGAACACCTAGGCTAGATGGTATAGGCTATTGCTCCTAGGCTACAAACCTGTATAGCATGTTACTATACTGAATATTGTAGGCAACTGTAACACAATGGTAAGTATTTGTATATCTAAACATATCTAAATATAGAAAAGATATAGTAAAATACGGTATAAAAAATAAAGAATGATACACCTGCTGAGGGCACTTACAAATGGAGCTTGCAGGAGTGGAAGTTGCTCTGGGTGAGTCGGTGAGTGAGTGGTAAATGAATGTGAAGACCTGGGACATTACTGCACACTACTGTAGATTTTATAAACACTGTACATTTAGGTGACACTAAATTTATTTAAAAAGTTTTTTTCATTCTTCAATAATAAATTAACCTTAGCTTACTGTCTTTTTACTTTATAAACTTAATTTTTTTAACTTTTTGATTATTTTGTCATAACAGCTAGCTTAAAACACAAACACCTCGTACGGCTATACAAAAATGTTTTCTTTCTTTACATCCTTATTCTATAAGCTTTTGTCTGTTTTTAATTTTTTTTATACTTTTTAAACTTTTTTGTTAAAAACTAAGACACAAACACACACATTAGCCTACATAGGGTCAGGATCATCAATATCACTGTCTTCCACCTCCACATCTTGTCCCACTGGAAGTTCTTCAGGGGCAATACACCCGTGGAGCTGTCATCTGCTATGATAGCAATGCCTTCTTCTGCAATACCTCCTGAAGGACCTTCCTGAGGCTGTTTTACAGTTAACTTTCTTTTTATGAGTATACTCTAAAATAATGATAAAAAGGCCGGGCATGGTGGCTCACACCTGTAATCTTAGCACTTTGGGAGGCCAAGGTGGAAGGATCGCTTGAGGCCAGGAATTGGAGACCAGACTTAGCAACACAGCAAGACCTCATCTTTACAAAAGATTTTTTAAAATTAACCAGGTGTGGTGGTGTGCACCTGTAGTTCCAGCTAGTTGGGAGGCTGAGGCAGGAGGATCCCTTGAGCCCAGGAATTTGAGGTTGCAGTGAGCTATGATGAAGCCACTGCACTCCAGCCTGTATGACAGAGTGAGACCTTGTCCAAAATAAAATAAAATAAAATAAAAAATTAAAATAAAAAATAAAATTATAAAAAGTATAGTATAGTAAATATATAAACCAGTAACATAGTCATTTATTATCATTATCAAGTATTGTGTGCTATATGTAATTGTATGTGCTATACTTCTATACGACTGACAGTACAGTAGGTTTGCTTATGCCAGCATCACCACAAACATATGAATAATGCATTTGGCTATGACATTATCATGGCCATGACATCACTAGGCAATAGGAATTTTTCAGCTCCATTATAATCTTATGGGACCACCGTTGTATATGCAGTTCATTGTTGACTGAAATGTCATTATATCACACATTACTGTATTGCTATATTACTCTACATTGTAATATGGCAGTAATAGTAATTTGAATTAAAATGAGTGCTGCTAACGTACTTAAAAACAGCTTGTCCTTTTAGATGTGGTAAACATTCTCTCCCATAACTTAGTTTGTACGCATATTGTATATCTGTATAACTGATTTCATGCTACAAGTTTTATATGCTACATTAGTCTATTCAGTTGCCATAACAAAATACCATAGGCTGAATGGCTTAAACAAAAGAAATTTATTTTCTCACAGTTTGTGAGGCCGGGAAGTCCAAGATCAAGGTGCCAGCAAGGTAGGTTTAATTCTTAGGCCTCTTCTTTTTGCTTATGAGCGGCTGGCTTCTTGCTGTGTGCTCACACACCACTTTCTCTTCTAATAAGGCCACCAATCCTATAATATTAGGGCCCCACCCTTATAACCTCATGTAACCTTAATTACCTCCTGGAGATCCTATCTCCAAATACAGTCACATCGGGGGTAAGGGCTTAAACATATTTTGAAGGGACACAATTCAGTCCATATCATTCCATCCAGACCCCTAAAATCCATGCCCTTCCCACATGCAAAATATATTCATTCCATCCTAACAGCTTCTAATGAAACTAAGTCATTCCAGACTTTAGACTCAACTCTAAAGTCCAAAGTCTCATCTAAATATTATTTAATCAGATGTGGGTGAGGCTCCAGGCATTATTCATCTTGAGGCAAAATTCCTTTCCATCTGTGAACCTATGAAACCGGACAAGTTATATGCTTCCAAAATACAACAGTGAGATAGGCAGATAGGAGAAATTGGAAAGAATTAAGGGGTGACAAGTCCCAAGCAAGTCCAATATCTAGCAAAGCAAATTCCATTAGATCTTAAGGCTCAAGAATAATCCTCTTTGATTCAATGCTCTGCCCTTCAGGCCCACACTGGGACAGCAGCATCACCCCACAGCTCCATGGGGTGTAGCTTCACTCTTTGGGGGGATGGCCCCACCCATGTGCATCTGTTGGGTGTCGCTCCCACCCTTTGAAACCAAGGTAGAGGCACCCTTGTCCGCCAGGCCTGTGCACTCTGGGCCTATAGTGGGAGTAGCAGCCCTGGTGATCTCTGAATTGCCTTCAGAGTCATTCTTCCCTTTTCTTGAAGGATAAAGCATGTTTCTAGCCAAATAGCTCTACCATACTGTCCTGTTCCCTTTGGTCCAAACTCTATTCCTGGCTTCTGCTGAGATGGCTAGTTAACATCATGGGTAGTTTCCTTAAGAGGTGATAGTCCAGCCCACTCAATTGGTGTTCTCTCCAGAACAGGCTCATTTTTTGCAATATGGATAGGCTAAAAATTTTCCAGTCTTTAAGTTTTGGTTCCTTTTTGCTTAACAATTCCTTCTTCAACTCATCTCCTTCCTTTTGCATTTTTTTTTTGAGACAGAGTCTCACTCTGTTGCCTGGGCTAGAGTGCTGTGGCATCAGCCTAGCTCACAGCAACCTCAAACTCTGGGGCTCAAGCAATCCTCTTGCCTCAGCCTCCGGAGTAGCTGGGACTACAGGCATGCCCCACCGTGCCCACCTAATTTTTTCTATATCTTTTTAGTTGTCCAGCTAATTTCTTTCTATTTTTAATAGAGACGAGGTCTTGCTCTTGCTCAGAACTCCTGAGCTCAAACGATCCTCCCACCTCAGCCTCCCAGAGTGCTAGGATTACAGGTGTGAGCCACCGTGCCCAGCCTCCTTTTACATTTTACTATAAGCAGTCAGGATGAACCAATCCATTCATTCAACACTTTGCTTAGAAATCTCCTCAGCTGAAGTTGATTAATGGGTACGAATATATGGTTTGATAGAAGAAATAAGACATAGTGTTAGATCAGTAGGGTGACTATCGTTTACAATAATCTATTGTATATTTCAAAATAGCTAGAAGAGAATAATCTGAATGTTTCTACCATTAAAAAAGACAAATATTTAAGGTGATGGGTATCCCAAGTACACTGATCTGATGTTTATAATTTACATGAATTGTTAAATTATCACATGTACCCTAAAACTATATACATCTATTATGCATCAATGAAAATAAAAAGAAATCTCCTCAGGTAAATATCCAAATTCATTGCTCTCAAATTCTACCTTCCACAAAATACTAGAAAATAATTCATCCAAGTTCTTTGCCACTTTGTAACAAGGATTGCTTTTCTTTCAATTTCCAATAACATGTTCCTCATATCCATCTGACCTTACCAGAATGAACTTTAACATCCATAGTTCTACCAATATTCTATTCACAGAAATCTGGGCTTTTTGTAGCATGTACCTCAAAACTCTTCCATTACCTAGTTCCAAAGCCACTTTCACATTTTTAGGTATTTCTTACATCAGTACCAAAATCTGTATTAGTATGCTTGGGCTGCCATAACAAAATACCATAGATTAGGTGACTTAAACAACAGAAATTTATTTCTCACATTTCTTGAGGCTGGAAAGTCCAAGATCAAGCTGCTGACAAGGTAGGTTTCATTCTGAGGCCTCTTCTCTTGGGTATTAGGCAGCTACCCTCTTGCTGTATGTTCATATGACCTCTTCTTTGTGCATGCATTCTTCTGCTTCTCATAAGGTCACCAATCCTATCAGATTGGGGCCCCATTCTTATGAACTCATTTAACCTTAATTACCTCCTAGAGGTCCTATCTCCAAATACAGATACATTGGGGGTAAGGTTTTAAACATATGAAATTTTGGTGGAATAAAATCCAGTCCATAGCACATGCATTATCTCCTTTGGACCCCACAAAAATGCTTGCAATTTTATATTATGAAGTTCATTTTATAGATGAGGAAACTGAGACTTTCAGAAGTAACCAAAGCCAGACTAGAGACGAAGCAGCAGAGATGGGATCTGAATCAGGCTCTTTGACTCTAAAGCCCCAGCTCTTGAT